GGAATTACAGATCTCATAAACTTTAATCCCTTAAGCCTGGAAAGTGTTTAGACAGTGGGCGGCGTGAGGTGTGCATTGACACCCACTCCGGACGAGCGCATTTCCACAATACTTAAATACTTTTACAGATCACTAGTGTTTCATGTGTGTTTTAGTTGCATTTAACGTCATAACAGGAAAAAATGTACACAAGTTTTGAAAAGCATGAGTCGGCAAAGCATGTTCATCTCTCTCCTCGGGTTTATTGCATTGGTGGTAAAGAACATGTCGTGCTTTTATTGCTGAATCCAATTACGCACAGATCACACAAGCTATGAATTTCAGCAATATTTTCCCAAAGAGTCATTTTCCTCTCGCCAGAAATATGGAAAAATCATTCTGTGGTTCATTAGGAGACTTTGCCATATCTATTTTTATGATCACGTTTATTCTAAGTGCGGTTGACTCCTAAATATCAAAGTCTTTTGGTCCATGTTAATGCTATATTTATCAATATAACCCTGTATTATTGTAAAATCTATTTTGTTTTCATTGTTATTATAACTATTATAGTACTTGGGTTTATTGTTACAGAAAGGATTAAAGCCAGTGTTTCAAGTTTAACAGTCTTCACTTTTCACTTTTCCCACACAGCAATATGGGTAGATAGAAATATAGAAATAGTGAAACATATCAAACATATATAATTGAATATCTTTATCTAAAATCAATTTTTTTTTGGATCTCTTCACATTTGTTCATGCAAACTGGTTGTGAAAGTTGCCTATCTTTAAAATGTGCTCCGATTCATAATGTGATTTTTTGTGTGTGTGTTTTTTGTGTTCAGGTTCATCCTGGGTCCGTGGTCATCCTGCAGTGTGTCTTGTGGTCTGGGCGTTCAAAGGCGTCAGGTGAAATGTAAGGTGCTGCTGTCTTTCACTCAAGCTGAAGTCGAACTACCTGATGAAGAGTGTGACGAGGACAAGCCTCCCTTACAAAGGACCTGTGATTCAGGTCCCTGTTTAGCATCTCCAGACTCATCCTGGAGGCCCCTGAGGGCCCATGAGATTCCTGATCAGCACGGCTATGTTTGGGAAAACATGGGCTTCACTCCCTGCTCTGCTTCATGTGCTGTTGGTGAGTCTCCATGAAACCCATTAGAGAAAACAACTGCTCTAATGCATTTACTGCCCAAATATCTTTTATCAATTTTCTACAGCAAAAGAACTGATTTAGATTTGATAATTTAGAATTTAATAAAACATGAAATGTAGTAGAGTTATTTATTTATATTTGTTTGTTTTTATATTATTCACTTTTTTTTTTAATTTATTGATATATATATATATATACATATATATATATATGTGTGTATATATATATATATATGAAAAGACTAATCAAATTCAATGTAATGCGAATACGTTAACACTCATACTCGTGCACGTCCAGTCACTAATTCTCATCGCCTGTTTTCTCAATCATATGAGGTGTTCTGACATCATAATATTCCCTGAATGACACCCCTACATTAGTCCAAACATGACATGTTTGGGGGTTATGGGGAATTACAGATCTCATAAACTTTAATCCCTTAAGCCTGGAAAGTGTTTAGACAGTGGGCGGCGTGAGGTGTGCATTGACACCCACTCCGGACGAGCGCATTTCCACAATACTTAAATACTTTTACAGATCACTAGTGTTTCATGTGTGTTTTAGTTGCATTTAACGTCATAACAGGAAAAAATGTACACAAGTTTTGAAAAGCATGAGTCGGCAAAGCATGTTCATCTCTCTCCTCGGGTTTATTGCATTGGTGGTAAAGAACATGTCGTGCTTTTATTGCTGAATCCAATTACGCACAGATCACACAAGCTATGAATTTCAGCAATATTTTCCCAAAGAGTCATTTTCCTCTCGCCAGAAATATGGAAAAATCATTCTGTGGTTCATTAGGAGACTTTGCCATATCTATTTTTATGATCACGTTTATTCTAAGTGCGGTTGACTCCTAAATATCAAAGTCTTTTGGTCCATGTTAATGCTATATTTATCAATATAACCCTGTATTATTGTAAAATCTATTTTGTTTTCATTGTTATTATAACTATTATAGTACTTGGGTTTATTGTTACAGAAAGGATTAAAGCCAGTGTTTCAAGTTTAACAGTCTTCCCTTTTCACTTTTCCCACACAGCAATATGGGTAGATAGAAATATAGAAATAGTGAAACATATCAAACATATATAATTGAATATCTTTATCTAAAATCAATTTTTTTTTGGATCTCTTCACATTTGTTCATGCAAACTGGTTGTGAAAGTTGCCTATCTTTAAAATGTGCTCCGATTCATAATGTGATTTTTTGTGTGTGTGTTTTTTGTGTTCAGGTTCATCCTGGGTCCGTGGTCATCCTGCAGTGTGTCTTGTGGTCTGGGCGTTCAAAGGCGTCAGGTGAAATGTAAGGTGCTGCTGTCTTTCACTCAAGCTGAAGTCGAACTACCTGATGAAGAGTGTGACGAGGACAAGCCTCCCTTACAAAGGACCTGTGATTCAGGTCCCTGTTTAGCATCTCCAGACTCATCCTGGAGGCTCCTGAGGGCCCATGACATTCCTGATCAGCACGGCTATGTTTGGGAAAACATGGGCTTCACTCCCTGCTCTGCTTCATGTGCTGTTGGTGAGTCTCCATGAAACCCATTAGAGAAAACAACTGCTCTAATGCATTTACTGCCCAAATATCTTTTATCAATTTTCTACAGCAAAAGAACTGATTTAGATTTGTACATGTACAGCTTTCCAGATTAAATGAAATTGGCATGAAATCTAAAATTGCTAAGAGAGCTGATAGTGATCAGCCTGGGCTACAAAATACATATTGAAATACTCCTCTGCCAAAAGCCTTGTTCCTCACAGTGTTGTTTTGCAGGCAAACAGATGGCTGTTGTCAGGTGTGTGAGCACCTTGAAAAAGGAAATTGTTGATGACACACTCTGCAACGGCTCCAAAGCGCCGCTTTCCTCGCTTCGCATCTGTAACCCTCAGCCATGCCCTCCGAGGTACGGTCCAAATGACACTGCAAGAAATCACTATTGAAAAAATGGATTTGTTGCTTAAACAAATTGCACTATTTCAGGATAACAATAAGCTAACTGTTTTATAGGCCAATTTCTCCCTTTATGAGAAAGTACTGTGGTGTGTGCATTTTTTTTGCTAGGATCTTTTATTCATGCATAAATTAAAGAATCAGTTTTTTAAATGTATGTATATTATGTATACACACACACACACACACACACATATATATATATATATATATATATAAATTATTGTATTTAAACAAATTTCAAAAGAATAGCATTTATTTGAAATATAATTTTTTTGTATAATTATAAATGTCTTTACTGTCACTTTTGATTAATTTAATGCATCCTTACTGAAAAGTATTCATTAAAAAAAAATAAAAATCTTCCTGGCCCCAAAAGTTTAGATGGTAAAAAGAGTGAACTAAACAATGAGTAAATAAATAATACTTTGTGAATAATCATAATGATGAAAAGAACGAAATAATATTCCTTCATCATCTTGGATCTTAAAGAGTCAAACAGACACAGGAAGTGCTCGTAATACCAGGTTTCGGGCATTGTTCCAAATAAGTACAAGCTAGAAAGGAAAGGAATAAATAAACTTTTTTTTTTAAGTTGAAATCAAATAGTGTTGAAAGAGATGAGTTTTCAGCTGTTGCTTGAAGATTGTCAGGGAATCAGCATTCCGGATTGGGGTAGGAAGATCATTCCACCAGCCAGGAGAAAGTGATTTTGTGCCTCTCTGTGATGGAACCACGAGGCATCGCTCACTAGCGGATCTCAGACTTCTGGAGGGGATGTAGTTTCATAGTAGTAAGTGGAAGTAGGCGGGTGCAGAGCCTGTGGTTCTTCTATATGCAAGCATCAATGTCTTGTAGCCAGTGCAAGGAGATAAAGAGAGGTGTAACATGGGCTCTTTTGGGCTCATTGAAGACCAGTCGTGCCGCTGCATTCTGAATCA